TAAGTCTGGTTCTCCCATCTGGAATGGTTTCATCTACCTTTTTGGTGATATTCTTCTTGGGTGTCTGGGGGAGAATTACCACAGTATTACTTAGTGATAGAAACCCACAGGGATCGGGCCTAAACCGGCAGTCAGACATCCCTCTCACAATCCAGGACTATTGGATCTTAGCTACTCACCTGCTTGCCTGCATGCCCCTAACTGCTTCTGCCTGCCAGCCTGATCACCCCCTAACTGCTCCCCTGCTGGCTTGATTGACACCTAACTACTCACCTGACTGACGCCTAACTGCTCCCCTGCCGGCCTGATCACTCCCAATTGCTCTCCCTTGCCGGCCCGATGGCCCCCTACTGCCCTCCTCTGCCGGCCATCTTGTGGTGGCCATCTTGTGATGACATGAGGGAGGCCATCTTGTGGTGGCCATCTTGTGATGGTGACACCACCTAGGCTTTTATTATATAGGATAATAAATACCACAAGAGATAACAATAAAATAAAGTTCAGGATATTATACTTAGTTTAGTGAAAGCAGAGAGAGTTCCTGGGTTCCAGGGCTCAGGAGTCTGGAAAGGAGGGAGGGGAGAGAAGGAGCATTGAGGGGATGGAGGCCTGCTGGCACACAGAGTAGACAAGTACAGGTCTCATTTGGAAACTGCAGGTATTCTGACTGTTACAGCCCTGGGGGTACACTAGGGAGGAGAGGAAATAAGCTTGGAAGGTATTTTGATGCTTTGAATGTCTGACTACATGGAGATAGATACTCAAAGTTTTCCTTTGAAGATGGAGAAGATGAGAAGGTGGCCTGGGAAGACTGACCTGACTACATGTATAGTAAACTAAATAAGACATTACCTTAATGTCTTCCAGGTAAGAGATAAGGTTACAAACAAAGGGATATGGAGGTTTAACGATTTAAAATCAGGACAGTGTAATGGCCAGAGACACATACCTATAGTGCCAAACTCTTTAGGTTCAAACCATTTGTTTCCACTTCATAGCTGTGCTGATTTGGGCAAGTTCCTTCATCTCTCTGTGCCTCAATTTTCTCATTTATAAAATGAGATGTCAATAACAGTACTAGTAAAGGGAACACTAGTTCACTGCTGGTGAGAATGCAGACTGGTGCAACCACTATGGAAAACAGTATGGAGTTTCCTCAAAAAAATTAAAAATGGAACTTCCATTTGATCCAGAGATCCCACTTCTGGGACTATATCTTAAAAATCCTGAAACACCAACCAGAAAGAATATATGCATCCCTATATTTATAGCAGCATTATTACACTAGCTAAGGTCTGGAAACAGCCCAAGTCCCCATCAGTAGATGAGTGGATAAAAAAGCTGTGGGAAATTTACACAATGGAATACTATGCAGCTGTAAAAAAAAGAGATAAACCAAAGAACTTATATAGTTATATGCATAGCCCATGGACATGGGCATAGGGTAGTGAAGACCTGGGGGATGGGTAGGGGCTGGGAGGAAGGCGGGGGGGGAAGGGGAGACATCTCTAATACTATCAACAATAAAAAATACATATTAAAAATAATGATAGTACTAGTCACCTATAGTACTTATGGGATTTTAAGAAGTCAAACTTACAAAGTACATGTAGATGTTCCTCAATTTACAGTGGGGTATGTCCCCATAAGCCCACTATATGTTGAAAATATGGTTGTAAAAAATGTACTTACTACATTTAACTACTGAACTTCATTAGTCTCATCTACTTAACTGTGCTCAGAACACATTATCCAAAAACCCTGGCAGCACAGTGCACTACAGTGTTGTTTGTTGACCCTGGCAATGGTATGCCTGACTGGGAGCTATGGCTTGCTGCCCATGGCCACAAATTGCTAGTCTGGGCAAAGATAAAACTTCAAAACCTGAAGAATGGTTTCTACTAGTTTCACACCAGTGTAAAGTAAAAAATTATAAGTTGAACAATTGTAAGTTGAGGACTTTCTTCACTTAAAATAGTACCTGGCACATTATAAACAACATTTAAAAAATATGTATTTTTATTGATTTCAGAGAGGAAGGGAGAGGGAGAGACAGAAACATCAATGATGAGAGAGAATAATTGATTGGCTGTCTCCTGAACGCCCCCCATTGGGGACTGAGCCCACAACCCAGGCATGTGCCCTTGACTGGAATCGAACTCGGGACCCTTTAGTCCTCAAGCCGACGCTCTATCCACTGAGCCAAACCAGCCAGGGCTAAACACCATTTTTCAAAACTTCATTTAAAAGCTTTCAAGCACAAGTGAGTAGGAATGGCTGTGACATTATGAGATTTAAGGAAGCAGTCAGGGATGGACAGAGAGAAAATAGTGTATGAGAAGAACCTCAGATCCAGTAGTTTTACTTTCAATCAAGAGAAAGATCAGTCCGTACTTTCTTGAAGCTTTTTGGAAAGATCAAGTATTTCTCTAATTCAAGGAGAAGTACAAATTCTTAAAGTTACAATTCTACTAGAGTCAAACATCTGTTTTGTAACACTAATGACAACTTATTACAAACATTATATTGCCTAAGGATCAATTTTTAGAATTATATAAGTTTTCTCATATAGAGGATTAAATCTTAAAAAGAAGTGAACAGATACATTTGACATTTAAAAAAATTCTATATTTAATATTTTAAAAGGCTTTTAGAAATTATTAATCTAAATTGTTTCTATTTACCTTTACTAGCAATTTCTCTTTCAATGAGTGTGAAACTTCTTGTTCACATTCTGATTCTGAATTTGAGAGATCTTTATAATTTATTTTTGTGTTTGCTGCTCTTCGTGGAAGTCTGGTTCTCCCATCTGGAATGGTTTCATCTACCTTTTTGGTGATATTCTTCTTGGGTGTCTGGGGGAGAAAAATTCCTGAATATTATATCAATATTTGAGTTACAAGAAGCACAAGTTATTTGCTATAATATATTTCTAGAAATAAAAGATTTCGGATTAATATTTTTAAAAAGACAGAATTTTACAAAAAAGACTAGAATACACCAGAGTATTACTTAGTGATAAAAACCTAGAGAATATCATGTTAACTAAAGTAATTCAGAGAAAAACAAATACTGTATGATTTCAATTACATGTAGAATCTCAAAAACAAAACAGAAGCCAACTCATAGATACAGAGCAAACTGATGGCTGCCAAAGCGGGAGGGGGGAAGGAAAGACAAAGGGGATAAAGATTAAGAAGCATAAACTTCCAGTTATATATTTTAAAAAGACTGGATTTTACATTTCCATTCCAAATATCTTCTCTATTGCCTTTTTATCCCTGTAATTAAAGGTTTGAAAGGCCTGATTTATATTACCTAACTTAAGTAAAAAAGAGAGAGAAAAAAAGAGATGTCAATACCTTTCACCACAGAATAAAATAAACGTACAACAGGCTAACATGTTTAAAAAGGCAGAAGGTAGGAGTAAGGGTGCAAAGACTGACACAATTATGAGAAACAAGTGACTGATAAGGATAAAATTATGTGATGACACATGAATTTTTTTTCATGACAATGAGAAAAATGATTTTAAAGGGATGGTTGAACACAAACTTCCAAGTTTTACCATTTTAGATCTTGTTTGTTCCCTTTCCAAAGATGGTCCTGCAATTCAAGAAAATAAGGTTAAAATTTTCAAATGGTTAAAAACTGGCATTAAAACTTATTGGCCACTTGAACAGGTATAAGGTATCTCATTGTAGTTTTGATTTGCATTTCCCTAATTGCCAGTGAGGTTGAATAAGTGTGTTAGAAAAAGCTAAGAACCATATGATTTCACTCATATAAGGGATGTAAGACTGAAACTCATGAACACAAACAGCAGCATGGTGGTTGCCAGAGGTAAGGGGGTGGGAGGAGAAAGGGGTTATAATATAAGGTTACAGAAGATTTGACTTTGGGTGGTGGACACATGGTGCAATATACAGATCTTGTAAGATAGAAACCCACACCTGAAATCTCATTCATGTTGACCAATGTCACCCCAATCAATTTAATGAATAAATGAATAAATAAATAAATAAGTAAATAAATATTATTAGAGTATTTCTGTATATAAGTAGAAATCATAGAAAATAGGAATACATTTTAAAACTCATTCCAACTTTAAATTTAAAGATGATTTGAGGCCAAGTTGACTTTGAAAACTTTAACTGTATAGTATTTGATATCATGTGACTTACCCATTTCCCTTCTCCTTCATATTATAAAACTTTTTAAACATACAAGAGAATATGTAACGTAAGTTATAAAGTTAACATCCATGATGCTACTATTCAGTTTAGGAACTACAGTGGAACCTCGGTTCTCAAAACTTAATGCATTCCGGAAGGCTGTTCGAGAAGCACTGAACATTTGTTCAAACACTAAATCATTTTTTCCCATTAGAAATAAGGTAAATTGAATTAATCTGTTCCAGACCACCAAATGATTCCATTTTATTTAACACTAGAGGCCCAGTGCACAAAATTCATGCATGGGTGGGGTCCATAGGCCTGGCCAGTGATCAGGTCCAATTGGGGCCAGGCTGATCAGGGCACTGCTGGAGAGGGAGCGACAGTTGCCGGGTGGGGTGTAGAAGGAACAGACACCGGACACAGCCATTGCCATCATCAATGGCACTCCGCCACCGTGTAGTACCCCGCGTCCCCCTCCTCCTTCTTTCCTCACCGCCGCGCCACCACCACAGTGGGAGGGCGGCATGATGATCGGGGCCTGCTGGCCAGAAGGAGGGATGAGGCATGGGAGGTTGGCTGCCAGCCCCGAGGAGGGAGCCGGCCCTCAGCCCCCTGGGAAAGGGGCCATGTCTGCCGTTACCCATCCCCAAATCTCCTTTCCAACCCCGGGGCCGGCCCTGATCAGGTGATCAGGGCCTGCTGGCTGGTGGGGAGGGACCTCAGGAGGTTGTCCAGTTGGGGGTGGTTGGCTGTGGGAGCGCACTGAACACCAGGAGTCTGCTCCTGCATTGAGCATCTGCCCCTTGTGGTCATTATGCATCATAGCAACCGGTCATTCCAGTTGCTTAGGCTTTAATATATATAGACTAGAGGCCTGGTGCACAAAAATTTGTGCACTCGGGGGGGTCCCTCAGCCTGGCCTATGCCCTCTTGCAGTCTGGAACCCCTTGGAGGATGTCCACCTGCTGGCTTAGGCTTGCTCCCTGGGGATCAGGCCCAAGCTGGCAGTCAGACATCCCTCTAGCAGCCCGGCAGCTCTTGGGGGATGTCCACTTACCAGCAGGGAGCAGACCTAAGCTGCAGTCGGACATCCTTAGTGCTGCTGAGGTGGAGGGAGAGGCACCCGCCACCACCGCTGTGCTAGCAGCCATCATCCTGGCTTGTGGATGAGCAGAGCTCCCCATGTGGGAGCACACTGACAACCAAGGGACAGCTCCTGCACTGAGCATCTTCCCCCTGGTGGTCAGTGTGTGTCATAGTGACCAGTCATTCCCAGTCAT